TTTTCCAATAGAACCGGATGGCAGAGAGGCAGGCCTGGTCATGTCTTGGTTTTCGACCATTCATTCATTCATTCATTCATTCCTCCCTTCACTCAGTCAGGCATTCTCCACAACCACTGAGCACTTGATAATGTGTGCTGGCCCCTCAGGGTGTAGAGAGAGGAGCTCTGACTACACATCAGGTAGCCCTTCTTTACTCAGCAGTGCCTGGCTGGCTGAGAAAGCTGGGGACACATTCCATGGAGGCAGCTGGTTCCTGGGGTGTCTCCGGGAACTCCCATTTTAGAATCACCTCCAGATCCAACTGACAGCTTGGATCCAGCTTCAGCACTTTCCAATGATTGCTCCAGATAGATAACATTTTTTTTTTTTCAGTAAGAGCTGATAATTTCCCTCCCTGCCCCCCACCACATACACACAAGTCACCAAACAATATAATCTGACTATTAAAAATCAATTCATCTTACAGGTGCCTGACAAGCACTGAGGTGGACTCCTGGGTCCACTTGGCTTGGTTGTGTAATTGCTGTCAAAGGCCATATCCTTTTGAAGCCTCAATTTGCTGCCCATAAAAGAGATCTGAGACGCCATCACAGCTCCCTGAGGGCCAGCGGGACACACGTATGAAGTATAAAGTGGCACCCTGTATAGAGATGGAGGTTAATGAGGACTCTGCAGTCTGACTCCCCACTGAGGAGGCTGGAGAACGTTACAACTACTTGAACACCCCTGACTGTCGTGCCTAAGTATCCAGCCTCTCTCACACTGGATGGGCAATGAACGCCAGCGTGCTTATTACAATCTGCCAGGAACAGGGTGGCAAGGCCCTTGTTTTCTTATGCCTTGGAGAACCACAGAAGTCAGTGTTCTACTTCACTGCCTCCATTGTGTGTATGTGTCATGGTGACAGGGAGGACTGAGGACCCCTAGAGGGGAAAGGCCATCTCCTAATGGGTCCAGTGAGTTGGTAGCGGTCAATACCAGTGCCTGCAGGCAGCCCACTGTGCTGATTAAAATCTACAGGTCCTGCACGCCCATGTTTATTGCTGCTTTATTTACAATAGAAAAGACATGGAATCAACCCAAATGCCCAAAAGTATATGACTGGATTAGAAAGATATGGTACATACACACAATGGAATATTACTCGGCGATCAAAAAGATAAACACATGCCTTTTGCAGCAGCATGGATGGACCTGGAAGGGATCATGCTTAGTGAAATAAGCCAGAAAGAAAAAGAAAAATACCAGATGGTTTCACTCATAGCAGAAGCATAAAGGACCAGGGGGTAAATAATAATAACTATACCAGAGGCATTTTATGGGGTGAAGTGGGAAATGGGATAAAAAATGGGGAGGGTGGGGAGTACACAGGACTATGGTGGTGGCACATGGATGAATTGGTGATGGGAAGTCCACAGGGATTACAAATGAGATGAAAAAAGCACAAAATTATGTAAAAATAAACTATTATAATAATAAAAAAAAATCTTCAGGTCCCAAGACTGTCCCAAGACCTGAACTCAAGCTTCAGCCGCCCCAGGCTTCTGAAGGCAAGAGCTGCCAGCTTCCCTCCCCTTTGCACTCGGCTCTACTTTGTTTAATAATAGATGGTCAGTGGTCCTGGCTGCTGGGGGCAGGTGCCAACAGGGCAGACCAGACCTGACACTGCCAGGCAACCTCTACTTTGCCTGCCCTAGAGCTGGCCCAGACTCTTTTCCAAGCTCAAGACTCCTCAAGGTGGTGTCTTTTCATGTCTCATAACACTCACTCAATTGTGAAAAGCTGTCACCAGTCTCCCACTTGAGAGATGCGGAAACCAAAGTTTACAAACAAGCCCTTGGCTTTAGTGTCAGAGCTGGGACTGAAATCGAGAAGCGCATCTTTGTACGTCTCAGCCTACCATCCTGAGGAGTCAGAACACATTAGAAATCTTAGTGGGCCTGCTTCCTCCAATCCCATACTAGCCCTAGAGCCAAAGGAAATGATTTTTAAGTATAAATTCTCTAGGAAGTAAAATTTTAAGTTCTCAAGGGGGGAAAGAAGAAAGGAATGAAAGAAGACTGACGGAAATACCTACCCTGGCAGAGTCAGCGTGGGGCAGTGGGAAAAGCACATCATCTTTCTTTAGAGTCAGGCAGACCGACTCTGTTCCTTATTAGCCATATGACCTTGGGCAAGTCGTCCAACCCTCTGAGTGCCCACCTTAGAAAGCTCCAGGTTGTGAGAACTGAACAGAATGGAAAGGAGTATCCTGCAGGGTGCCTGGTGCATGGAATTGATTATACCCATCCCAAGGAATGCTGGGGCTGGAAGGGGCCTGAAGGATGACCTAATCCCAGGGTCTCATTTCACAGATGGGAAAAACAAGGCCCAAAGAGGGGAACTGACCTGCCCTGGGTCACATAACAGAGTGATGCTGGGTCTATCTTCCTCAGTTAATGTTGAAATCAGAGACCATGGCCAATAAGCCTGACCTTCCAAGCGGCTACAAAGGTAGAAGACATATTCTGAGTGGCTCCTCCAGCCCATGGAATCCCAAAATGTAAGCTTGCTTTCTCCGCTGAACAAGGGAAAATGTGGTATTTCTGCCCAGAAGAAAATACAACAATTTGAGCAATACCAAACTGAAAACAAAAGTCTGAGGTCTGAACAAAAAGGCACTCTTTTAAAGCTTCTTTTTCCCGCCTTCCTCTCTCATTGCATGCCCCCCCCCAAATATTTTGCAATAACAGTAATGCTGAGAGGAAAGAAAAAATAAAAATCTGATGCACTTAGCAGATATTTCGGTACAATAATGCATCACAGATGTTCATATCAAACTGTGCACGCATGCATACAGTTTTACTGAGGCTATTGCATTTCTGGGTTTGAGATTGGGGATCCCTAACCACCCCATCCATCCAGACTCTGGTAGCCCACCATTCCCAGTTAGCCCCTGGCTGCCCAAGAGGCTGGAGGAGAGATTTCATCACTTGGCTCCAAAATGATAACGGGACAAATTGGTGGGGTTGGCTGCTCTGGCAGGTGGTGAAGGGTATGTAGATTAAGGGAAGCATGAGGGGTCCTATTTCACTTGTTCTGAACTTGCTTCCTACAGCCCTCTCAAGGAGCTGCACCCCAAAACAATTTCAAGAGCAGCCCAGACTGGTGGTGGGATGGGCGTATTTTTGAAACTAGAGATTTGAGTTCGTTTGATCTTCAAACGTGGGCTTTGGAGACTGTCAGCGGGCTCCTTGCTGGCCGATGAATGGCTCGCGGGAACTTTTCCTAAAACATAACCTCACACACTTCCCAGCAAATGTTTTCAACCCACCAGAACCGTCACTCAGTTGAACAGCAGTGTTTCCAGACCCCGAAGAAAGATAGTTTTGTTGTTTTAAGAGAGACAGATTAAAGCCCGGGACTGTTTGACTGGAAAGTCCGTGTGCTCCCTTCGGGCCTCACTGGATTCTTCTGTGGTTGGTACAAAGAGGGTGTTGAGAGGGATGTTGGAACCCACCTCCCTAACCTAAAAAAGATATCGAGGCCCCGAACAGAGAGGCCTCCCACAAATCTGTCTCCAAAATGAGATGGGCGGTGAGCACCGGGGAGCCCTACACAGATAATATCAGCTCTGAGGCTGGCCAGGGAAAAGTCACTTCAGAGGGAGAGAGCCGGTATGTTCAGAGGAATCAGCCAGAGCCAGAGAATGCACAGGATTTTCCCCCGTGGAGAAGGAGTCAGGCGTCTTCAGAACCCCGCGGGGCGTGACTAACTGCCCCAATATTCCTGCCACCGGGGCCCTCTGGGTAAGGACGCCACAATTATGGGAGAGCCAGCAGGAGAACCAACAAACCAGCCTTTCATTTGGCCGGCCAATCAATCTGGCTTCTTACCTCCCTGGGGACAATATTGCATTTCCCCTGGAAAAACAAAAGCCAGAGATCTCTGAAGGGGGATCAGTTTCTGCCGTGGTTTCCCTGGTGAAGAGCTTGCAACATCTCGGGAGCAGCAAACAGGTCTGGTCCCAGCCGGACACTTTCCAGCCAGGCCAATTTATGGGGTTGTCTCCTTAAAAGAGGAGCCCGACTCCAGGAATACGCCTCACCCGGGGCACGGGCCCAAGCCCTGCGTGGGGCCTCCTTGCAGGAGCCACCAGCCTGGCTCCGAGTCCCCATCCTGGGATTGACAGCCAGGTCTCAAGACACAGATGTGAACTCATTGTTCCCAGGGCCTCAGAGTTGAGTTTGGGGCCAGTGAGTTGCTAGTGACCTCTGCCCATGGAGACAGAGCTTTTTAATGACAGCTTGCTGGATCAGGTCTCTGGCAATCAGAGACTTTAAACCTCCAGTGTGTCCCCCTCCCCTCCCCAATCTTCCCCACCCCCGCCTCCGTCTCAGGAGTGAACACCCACTCCTGAGGTTCAGAAATCAGAACTGTCAACCTTTGAAGAAACAGACTTCTCTGACATTGCTAACCCCGAAACCATCCTTGCTGACTGGTCTCCCAGTCTAGGCAGGCAGTCTGAGGGCTGCCTAGAGTCTTGCAAAGGCCTGGAAGCCAGACAGCGGAAAACCAGTGCTCCTCAGACACCAGACCCATCACAACAACCGTGTGCCCAGACCCAGGGATCGTGACTTCCCCTGTTTCCTCTCCCGACCATGAGGTGCCCACACAGCAGCCCGCAACACCTCGGGTCCGGGCCTGGGGAAGCCAGAAGCGCGAACCTGCGACTCCCTCTCTTGTTTGTCATTTCGCTGAAGCTCCCAGGGAATTCCTTCTGCTCAGGCAAGCACAGCAGGTGGGGGTGTCTACCCCCAACAGGTAACACCACAGAGACTGAGAAAAACACCCAAGCCCGGATTCTAGCTCACACCAATCGCTCTTATACCACCACAAAGCAGCAGGAGGGGCGCCCCAAGGCCCCCAAAGCCCTGCTCCCTTTGGGGCCAGGCCTCTGGCTGCCACAGAAGGTCCAGGACTGCAGGGGAGATAAAGGCACCCGGGCGGCTGCCTACCTGAGAGAAGTTGAGCCCGTTGAGCGGATGGCACTGCTCCTCTACCTGCTCCACAGCCCCGGTGTTCTTCTTCATCTTCTCGGCCTGCTGAGCCAGGTAGAGGTCCAGCACAGGCACGCCCCGGGAGCGCACGTCGGTCTCTGTGAGCGAGTTCACCATAAGCATCACCCAGACAGGCCTCTTGCGCTCCCAGTTGCCCGCGATGGCATTGAAGAGGTAGTCTGCATACAGCCCCTTGCCCCGCTGCGCGGGCGTCATCCACGAGGGCATCATCAGCTTCACGTAGTCCAGGTGGCGCTTCAGGCGCCAGTAGAGTTCACGGGGCAGCACGTCCTGCAGGTTCTCCCCGTGTGGCAGCAGCTGGCAGCTGGCCAGTGCCGAGATGGTGTAAGGGTCCGTCAGGTCCAGCTCGAAGTACACACGGGCGCTGGCCTGGAAGGCCGCCTTGGAATTGTCTGGGATGAAGTCCCAGACGCGGGTATAGGGGACATGGATGGTGCCAAACAGGTAGGCCGGTGGGTCACGCCGGATAGTCCACAGGAAGGAGTTCAAGTCCCTCTGCTGCATGGGGAGGAGAGAAGGAGAGTATGAGACTGGCAGCAGCTGACTGAGCCAAGGGAAAGGTGAGCACCGGGTCAGAGTGGGCAGGAGGAGCAGGGGACGTATGGACCGATATGGAACCATGGACAAGAGCAGGGGTTTCGCGAGCTGAGACCCACATGCAGAGCCCAGCTTGGTCGCCCTTCGTTGTATGACCTTGAGCACCCACAGACTTAGCTTCCCCCTCTGTAACACGAGGGGGCGAGAGGTTGTCGGGAGGGCGGGAGGGCTGGGGGACACAGCACACATACAGAGCCTTCCCAGCCGTGCCAGGCACAGAGGAAGAGGCGGTGAAGGAAGGCAGGAGGAAGGAAGGAGGCAATGAAGGCAATGTGACGGGCTTGGCCCTGAGCGCCATGGACTGCCAGGCCACCTGAGAATATTCATGCTTGGCCAAGCCAAACCTTTACCGGTGGGGTTGCGCGTGGAGGGTGGGAAGAGGGGGATCAAGAATCCTGCTCTGGCAAGAAGGGAGGAAGTCATATAACTTTTAAATCCAACCATTAGAAGATACATGCCAAGAGCACTTTGAAAGCAGAACACCTATTAAAAATAGCACACCTATTTAAACAGCTACTTCCCATTCATCAGGGTGGATACAGTTTTCTTTTTTGGAGGGCAGGTCTGGGGTGTCAGCTACTCTGCTCCACCAGCTGAAACCACAGATGAGAAAATGCTTTAAAACCTGCAGGCTAAGTGAAGTCTCAAAGCCCCCCCCCTTCCCCCCCCCCCGTTTGGGAGGGGAAGATTCCATAGAATTAGTCCCAAGAAATGTACATATTCTGGGTGCTTTCCAGATTCCTCACCTAAAAGAGATGTATCTGGTCTCCAACGCCAATTCTTCTTCCCTGACCTCAGCTATGACTCTGTGTGTGTGTGTGGGGGGGGGGGGGGGCATGAAGACAGCAGTCATTTCTCCAGATCCAGTTGAAGGGTTAAGGGGCATGAGAAAGGAACGACCATTCTCTCTAGCAAGGCCATTTTCCACCCATGCCACTGACCACCTGCAAGCCTGAGGTCAACTCACACATTTTCCTGCCTGGTTCTATCAAATAACATGAATGAAAAGTATGTCTTGGGGTGAAGTAGAAGGACATTAATTTACTAACAAAAACTGACACGCCTAGCCCATTGTAGACAGACTAGCTCTCCGTGCCCCGCGGGCCACCCGGCTCACTGTCCGGCTTCCTGTCCGGCAGTCAGGAAGCACCTTGCCCAAGGTCAGCTAAATCCACCAAGAGGGCATGGGGTAAGGAACAGCCAGTCCTCTGGCCTCCAATCAGGTGATTTTCCATGCATTGGGGGAGGGATACTGAGGGAAGTCAAGGGTTTCCTTGGTCTGGAAGGGAAATTAGGAGAACTGGTAATTACTCAACCCTCAAGGAAATGCTAGGCCAGCATAGCCTGGCCATGTCTTCTCCTCTCCTCTGGATGCTTCCTTCTTTTTGTGACATGGGGGCAACGTGGGAGAGTGGGTGCTGCAAGGAGAGAAGTGGGGGCACCTCCAGGAAAAAAAAAAGTCTGCCTTAGGTCAGAGTTGGGGAGCAGGGGAGAGAGGGAGGTCTCAGTGAGTGGGGCAGAGTGTGTGAATGAGAGGCAGGACCGGCTGGAAGTCAGGGCAGGGAAAGGCAAGGAGTGGTAGAAACAGTTAAAAGTGTCCAGAGAGAGTCCAGAGCGCTAAGACAGGATAAAAGTGAGAAAAAAAGACGCGGGTCAAAAGGGGCACAGAGGGGAAAAGTCCGGCGGGACGGAAAGTCGAGGAGAGCCCCAGAGCAGAGCGACAGCGTGTGGAGCTGGAGAGGAGCGCCTCGGCACGGAGCTAGAGCCTGGGGGCAGAAGCAGGGAAGAGTGCCCGCGGCAGCGTCCGGCGGGCAAAGGTGGGATGGGTGGGCTAAGGTGGCTGTGAAGGCAGGACCCAAGTCTTCGTCCCCACGGGGCTGCACTGCCCCGGCGGCCAGAGAGTGGCCGGCAGGCGCTCGCTCACCGATCCGGGCGGCCGGCACTGTCCTCCGTCCGGGGGCTGCGGGCGGGCGCGGGC